TCCCGCCGTGCTACTGCTGTCTTTAATTAAAAGACCAATTTGTTTCGAGATGCGTGGAGTAGTACACCTTATTGATTATCGGAGATGTATCGACGATGTGCGTGTCATAACTGTGACTTTTCAACGACGATATCGTGCAATTTAATTTAACCGCGAGACTTCAGACACTTTCAGAGCATCTTAACGCAAACGAGATGTGCTATATCTCATTAAAGAGCCATGTCAGCAATTTATTGGAATCAATCAAATAAAACCTGGAATTATATCAATTAGATTGGATGGCATAATAATTACACTAATTAACAGATTTTTTTATTATGCTTATTAATGGACACATTTTGTAATTACATAATAGTAATCCACTCTTTAAAAAGGCATGCTAAATCGATGCTCGCAAATAGACTCTTAAAAAGGTTTGCTAAATCGATGCTCACAAGTATTGTTGCTTTTTTTCCGCGATGCTGATTGGTTATCTTGACACTACTGTGCATTATTTCATATCAATAAAAGCCTGTCATGGCTGAGCCGCGTATTTGACAGTTCAAATATGTATGTATAATTTTGATTTAATTGATTTTGAAAAAACGGGTAATTAGAATTAATATGTAAGTAATTTTATAAATATGTGTGTGTATGTGTTTGTGTGAAAAAAAATTTAACTAACGCTGTTAATGATTAAAACTCCATGGACTCGAAAGAACACGGTTAAAACTATAGGAAAATATGATAATTATAATAGAATAGATCTCCGCGTTTCGGAAATCAAAATTTTTCGCATGTCGTATAAAAACACATCCAAGTATTAGGATAAGTTTTCGCCTTTCCGGCTTTTTAGAAGTCGATTTTTCGTATATCGTATCACATATCAAGATATTTTTAAGTCCCGAAGGGAGTACGAAAATATTTTGGAGCCCCTTTTTCTCTCTATTCTCTCGATTACTATCTCTTTTTCTTCCATTTTATTTTAAAAAATATTAATATAATAAATATATATATAATAATTACGGTATCTCTCTTAGTCTGACTCTTCCCCTTCGACCTGTCCGGCATGGGTGACCCTACCGGTAACTATTAACGTTTTCGAATGAAACAAATTTGATCGCTTTGAGAGTGATTAAATCCAATTTACCATGAATATATGTTTGACCAAAAATCAGGTTTTGAGAGAATCTGATTAATATACATAATTTAAAATACATCTCCCCTTTTTGTTGCTATTTTGGCTTTAAAGCACAAAATTCTTTGCTCTGATTAATCACT